ATGTTTTGTGAAGCCAGTGTGACATTTGACCACCAAAATCTAAGCAGTTCATTCTTGAGTCCAAGTGAACGTTTGTACCAAATTTGAAGGAAGTCCCTCAAGGTGGTCTTGAGATATCTTGTTAAATCACAATGGGACAGATGGAAGGAAAACCAGTTAACAATATGCCTCCACCCACTGGGTGTGGCCAGCGCTGAAAACGAGCCAATTTTGGCAGAAAACCTTCTCGTATCGTGGATCCTATCACTTAATGCAAGATGCTGCCTGGAAAAATAAATATTTAGATTGGATATACCTGTACATTTTGCTATTGCTTCTTTTAAAGTATTACAAGATGAGAATCTCCATCCACTACAGCATTATGTAATATATCCAACTTATTAAATTCATTTCAGCTTTTACCCGAGCATATTTCAAATACCCAAACATCCATAACTTCACAGTTTCCTCTCTGTTTCTCTCTCCTATCTCGAATCTGGCACCTCCAGTATCTTCCAGCTGCTTCAGTCTCGTCCAAATACCATCACTTTGTCTGAGCAAAGCTCAAGGCGGTAATAACTAAAGATCAGCGCTGCGAGTGATGGAAGATAAACAGAGGCAGGTTATGTGACTCCCGCAGGACTGCGCACACAATGTCAGCGTTTGGACCGTGAATAAGCTAACGGTGTTCATTAGTGTGTTTGCTGTGGTGCTGCTGCTGTGTGGAGAGAGGGGCAGCTGCTTCTCTATTCCCACAGAGGAGGGTCTTTGTGCGGACACTTTGGCAGAGAATGCCGGGGGAGAGGGATCTATTCAGCGGCAGCACTTTCCCATGTGGCACCAACACAAACCTCCTGAACAAAGGAGTCACACACGGTCCTCTATCCACCACCTAAACCCCCCTCTGTCTCTTTCTCCATCACTTCTATCTGCCTTTCTCTGACCGTGAACTTTACTCATTTTGAGTATTTTAGTTTGGAAGAAATTGTCCTCAACACCTTTGCACTTTGTTTTTCTGCTGCAAGAGGACAACGATCAGCATGCTTTACCACACAGGAGGTCAATGAGGACGACTCTGAATTTTTTTTCTGGCAACAGAAAGTGAAAAAAGGAAAAATAGAAAGAAAATGCAAATAAGCTGATGATTATGTAACAGGAAAAAAACAAACAGGACATGATGAAACTACCAAACTGGTTATGCTGCAAATTATATTTTTAAAATCAGATTTTCAGCATTATTTGTGCATCTTTGACATTTTGCACATTTGTCATTTAATATTATGGGGACAACAAAAGAACGAAAGCATACTGGATTGCACACAATTTAATAAAAAAAAACATGTACAAGTTGCCGAATGTCCTCTGCAAATGAAAAAGTTTGATGTGCTGTGAGTTTGTGCGTGTGTGTGTACTCTCACAGGGCAATTGCGCAGGTCTCCCATGTTGCTGGCATTGCGGAGCAGTTCTCCAAACATGTCCGGTGTGGCCTTCTCTCTGCACTCCAGCATCCTCACCGCCTGGTTACTGCAGCATTAGACACACACACACAAATACACACACACACATTAAATTATTTCTGCCCCAATGCATAAGATTTTGTGAACAGAAGAAAACATTTATATTAAAGGCAGCAGGATTGGGTTTTTTTTCTCTCTCCATGCAGACGCTTCTGATGAACAACACTGAGTAGAATTCAACAATTTCTTCGGCAGATGTTCAGCCAGAAATACGACAAGAATTAAAACAATTGTCTTGCAAATTCTTTCTGGCCCTGCGTATTGCTTAGGCAGCCATCCACACACACACACACTCAAATTGATACTGACTCTGAGCCAGGACCACAGGCTCATCTGCTTTTATCAAGAAAAGGAAATGAAGAAAAATGAAGGCAGGAAAATAAAATATAAGAACAAATCTAGATTACAGTCCTTCTAAGAAATGTCTAAATCCTCTCTGATAATAATCTTTGACCTCTCTGAAGTGTTTAGGCCACAAGACAAGCAGTAACAATAGAGGAACATTATTGTTGTTAACGCTTAAGGAGAAGTTCATCTTCGCACCAAGCAAATGTGTGTTATTATCTGTGAATTACAGAATGAGCTCATCTGCAGTTGCTTTCTTTTCTTTTTCTCCCCTCTCCTTTCCTTTCCTTATTCCTTTCCTCTCCTTCACTATGCTTCTCCTTTTTAATCTCCTATCCTTTCCTTACCCCTCCCTTCCAATCCTTTCCTTTCCTTTTACCCCTTTACCCTCTGCTTTCCCTCTTCTTTGACCTCTACTCTCCTTTCTTTTCCTTACCCTCTCCTTTATACTCTCCTCTTCTCTCTTCCTCCATTAGCCTAAAATGAACTGAACCTCTTCACGGCCTCTCTTCCCCAATTTCCTCACCCTCTCATCTTCAGATGCCCAAACAGAAGAAAGGCTCAGAGAGCAGAAAGAGAGTAACAACAACAACACACAGCAGAAACATGTTTGTTCCTCTGTTTACTTCTGTATGAATAAACTTGAATCAGGCATTTGTTTTGTTTTTTTGTTGTTGCCCTTTTATTGTCTTACTCATGTTGACTCAAGCAGATTTGGCATATCACGACTGTAAACAACAGGCTTCACTTAGGGGTAAAAATAGCTTGGCAGTGCTAACAGGCACAAACACGGAGCGGCGGCACCGCTGTGCCCCACGACTACCTTGACATAGTGTGTTTATTTGTACTTTTGCCCCCTCCCTGCCCATTCATCCCTCTATTTCCTCCTGCACTGTGTTCCGTTTTCCAAAAGGGATATGGAGTGATACATCCTTTTATTTCCCTCTCGTTTACAGTCTTTCCGACCCACTGTTCCACTTATAGATTTATGTCGCCCCCCTGGGTCTACTGAATCAAACAGCTGATTGATTACTTCCCCTATTCCTTATTTCATTGACTCAGAGCATGTGCAAATTCTTTATGTAACAGCTCAGAGGATGTGCACATGCCTCTGCTGTGTGTGGATTTTGCAAACATGTCTGTGTGCAGACTTCCTGAACACGGGAGCGACATTATGCACAAGCTCACCTGCTCTTGAACATACACGTGTGTGCATAATGTGTCTGTAAGCGCAGGTGTGTATGTGTAATCGTGTTCACAGTTCAGTGTTCAGCAGGGATCCGTGCAGGAGAGAAGAGAACACGCTGTACCTTCCTTTACTGCCACCCAGCCTCAGCTTGCTGCCAGATTTACTGCATTGTGTGTGTGCCTGGGAATGTGCGAGTGTGTGTGTGAATGTAGGTGTGTGTCTGGTCTTACCAGAGGGATGTAGTGGAGATGTAATGAACCATCTGAATAAAGGGCAGGGGGTCTGATGTGGCTCCACAGCTGTTACACACACACTGTCAACACAGAGACAACCTCAGAATCATCATAGGACATTGTGTTTTTTAAAAATCTTTTCAAGTGGAAGATTTTTTGGGTTTTGATGAAATTTCCATTTTACAGTGAACCATGCATTAGTATCTTTAAAGTGACAGACGATCCGTCTCCTACCTGTTCGAACAGAGTCATGGCAAACTTCTGGTGTGGTATGCAGTGTTTGGCGGTGCAGATGTCCTCTCGACTCTCCGCGCTGATGTGGAAGTGGATACGCATCAGGAGATTCTCCTGAAAAATACATGAGCACCAATGTGTTGGTATGGTTTTAATGTGTCACTGTGGGCTTGAGTCTGTATGCTAAGGTGGCACATGTGTTTGTTTATATTGTATACACATGTACAGTGTGTGTTGGTGTGTTTGATGTGTGTTAGATCGGTTGGTGCTCTTGTTAATCTGACCGTGGGAGCAGCATCTATATTTCATAAGAGGCCGACGGATTCCCTGACTGAACACATTTACTACCAATCGATCAGACAGCGGCTCTCAGGTACACACATAAAACACACACGCACACACACACACACACACACTGTGGAGGTCTGTAAGGGAGAAAGAAAGAAAGAGGCAGAGGAAGAGACTGAAAGAGAGAGAAGTGGGAGAAAGCAACAGGAAGTGCTGTGAGGAAGGAACACAAGAAAGCATAGAGAGATTTCAAAGGTAGAATCTGTGACTAATGACACTTTATCTCCTTTATTTTCCTCTTCAATTCATGAATTCATTCATCATTCAATCATTCATTCATTCATTCATTCATTCATTCATTCAATTATTTATTAGCTATATCACTCATCCTTTGCGGGTTACAGTGGGGCTGAAGCCAATCCCATCTGACGTTGGATGAGAGGTGGGGCTCACCCCAGACAGGCCGCCAGCCTATCACAGCGCCAACATACTGAGACAAACAACCATTCACGTGGCAACGGGCAATTTAGAGTTTCCATTTAACCTTATCTGCCTTTGTACTGTGGGAGGAAGCTGGTGTGAATGGAAGTGATTCATGTTTGAGAATGATGTGGCAGCCCTCTGTGACGTCTCCCATTGGTTTGTGAACTGCTGTTTTGAAATCTCGAATGTTTTCTTTTTGTCCAGAGCCATCTTGTTTTTTTGAAACCAGACGTCACCATATTTGAAGGAGCAGGGGGTGAGTCTGACTGAGAGCTCAACAACATTGTACACTCACCTACACTTGTGTCCTGCTCCCATTGATACTAGATTACAGGGTATCCGTGCCCCCAATGCATATGGTGCTTTATCAACAATTTGATTCTAAATGGGACCATAATTTACAAATTTACAAAATGCTGTAAAGAAAACTTGAAACTAGCGATTTAAATAATGAACTACTCAGGGAAAATGTTTACTGTTGTTATAAATCAAGTGAAATTAAAGTCATTTTCTCATCTATAGAAACTGACTTCTTTTTTCAACCAATGGAGACGCCCCCTGTTGTCACTTTTCACACTCAGAGTCTATGTCCATTTTTATTCACACTCTATGTTGAGAATATGCAAAATCTACACAGAGAACCAGTTCCAACCACCAGGCTAACCACTGCACCACCTTGATGATGAGGTTTATTTCAAAATAAAACACAGAATGCTATACTATATATGCAAAACAGTAGGGCTGAGCACAATTTTAATGAAAAGGTGGGTTTTTAATGAGGTTTGTGTTACTGAGCAGTTTTATACTGATGTGATGAGCTGTGACTGCCTCGTGCCTGAAATAAAGAGGAGTGCTTCAGTGTACAGTGATAGAAATTTTGTCTTCAAATATTTAAAATATTTAAAAATTAAACATTATATCATGAAAATGTAAAAAAAACAACAGCAGTACACTACACTAATGATTCTTGTTAATGTTATTATTACTTGGGCAATTTTCGGATATTTGAATTTCTTTAGGATGATTATAAAGATTATATGACATACATATTTGGTTGTCAAAATAAAGGTTAAAGTAAAAATGCTAACATGTACAAACTCTAACACGGTTAATACAGACTCTTGTGGTTCAGCACATCATGTCATTATAACTATAGTTATCCATCACAGCTTTAATTCAACTTTACATGAATCATTTTCAACGACAAATTGGATTGTCCAGTTTGTTTGTCGCACTGCTCATTACAGTCCCAAGTGGTTAAAATAGGGTCTGCACTTCCTACCAGTTTAAAGGAACAGAGGCTGGATAAGATAACGAGGAATATCCTACAACACACTGCAGTGAGTCTAAAATAGCCACAAACACCAACTGTGGCCTCACAAATAGAGTCACAACAAAAGTTTAATAACAGAAAACAGATTTCTCTGTTTTCTATTCAGAGAATTCTCAGATTTCTATCCCCTGTCCCCTGAAGATGTCTGACTGCAGTAAAGATCAGGGAGTTCCTCAAATAAGCCTTTAGGCAACTGATCACCTCTCCTATCGGTGTGTGTGTGTATGTGTGTGTGTGTGT